TTTTAGCAGCTGCTCTCTTGATCCGATGCATGGATCTGGCAGAAATCTTCCTCAATGTGCCTTTATCTGCACGAACCCATCTGTGCTCTGAATCAGCCACAAATCTCTTAATATTGCGATGCTCACGCTTAACTTTTCGTGAAATATCTAATGTTTTCATACCTCGTCCAAGGCATTGAACTATTTCACTCTTTTCGGCAGCAGAGAGATCCTTTTTCTTCCCCAAATTGCTTGAAAATGGTGCTCTGCTTAATAATGTGGAACACCCTCCTTTAGTAGTTTTTCCTTAAATTGGGCTCACCTGCCAATCTAATTATCCCAGGTGTCCGAGATTGTTTTCAGTGATCAAAAAAGAGCCCTGACACACAATGCCATCCATGAGTTAAACTGAAAAACAAAATATTTCATCTTTGTGACACTTAAATAGAATTTGCATAATAATTTGGAATTTGTATTTCTGTTAAAAGGTGGACAGAGGTTGCCCTACATCACACAGTGTCTACTTTTGCCTATTGGCATTTTCATCAGTGCGATTTCCCTAGATCTTATCTTCTTTTCCCCTCAAATTAGAATTGTTTGCGGTGTGTCAGCAAAGACAAAACTGCAAAATATCCAAAACATATATACATGTTACATTCATCACTCAGGACAGACACAGGATTCATGAAGATATCTGCAGTAACAATTATGTAAGACGCAACATCAGAAATAATCATACAAATGTTTATCATATAGTTAGCCAAATCAATCACAGGTGGTCAGCACATTGATGTTCATGTACAGCAAACATAAATCACTCCCTGGGTGGGCACTCGAATATTAAGAAGGATCAGAGAAGGAATTGTATAAACAAAATCCCCCTTAACGAAAAAGATGTACTGTATACCCAAATATATATGTATATAGAATATAAAAAAAGACCACATATCATTCAGTCACACAAGAATAACCCAGGTCATACATAATGCTTAAACCAAATGAAGATACCAGATGTGATGTAAGCCAGGATTCATACAAGTCAAGGATCTCTTCAGTTATATATGGTAACTGAGAAACACGTTGACCCATGAAGAGTGATGAATGTAACCTAATGTCAGACAAGTGATCTGACTTAATGGATGTGTATTTATGCTTGCATATTTTGCAGTTTTGTCTTTGCTAATTCACAGCAAACAATTGTTTTTATGCACAACAAATCTGTATTTGTTTTTAATACACTAACAAAATCTACTCCTATGAAACAAAATTGTGTACTCCTCGTCTATACCAGTAAAAGTACAACAAATGGTTTTTTTTTTTTAGTTGTCTTAATTAAACAGAGTGGGAGGGGGCAAGGCTGTGGATAAGCGGGTACCACCAGTCCTCCTGCATGGGGCCCAGGCAGCTGGGTGAATCAGAGGAGGAAAGGGAAGGTGATTGGCACGGTGGGGAAGAAGGGAAATTACTGGATCCAATCCCCTGTATGGCTCTCTCTGAAGCAGCTGAAAGTTAGCTTCTTCTCCTCTCCCTTCCACTAGCTTTCAGCTGCTGCAGAGAGCCATACAGGGGATTGGTTCCAGCAGCTGCCCCTTGCCGCACTCATCACCCTCCCTGTGCACCATACGTTTCCATCTGCTGCCCAGGCCTCCCCCATGTGCCCCCACCTCCGCAGTGCTGTCGACTTCCCAATTCTCCTCCTCACCAGCAGCTGCAAACACACAATAGGATCCTTTAGGTTGGCGATTGGGGGAAGGGTCCAGTAAGTATGTCACATTTAAAAGCCCCTTTCTTTCCTGAATGAACACAATGAATGATTGGTACTGATCACTCACTGTGTCCATTCATAACAGAACCATGGGGGGGGGGGCTGTAAGGGGCCCTGTGGTTTCTAATAGCAGCCCTGGGAGGGGGTTCCTCCTGCTGGCTACAGCAAGTGTTCACAACTGGAAACTTCAACCCATTACCCAAATCTCTGAGGTGAGGTGATAAGACGTAAGTGCCTATGCGGTTCAAAATCCAATAAAACACTCTCACCCTGCTCTGCACATGCTCAGTTGCCCTCTGTATTTTAGCACTGTGCCAAATTTGTAGATGCCAATCTGCTAACAGCTTAAAGATTTACTGCTGTTCAGGGGCTCTGGGTCTGGGACCATCCCCAGATTACACAAACCCGCAAACACTATATATTTTCTGAAAGCAAAACACCCTAGAGCATAAAATAGTGGTAGTTCCAATTTTTTATGTCACACAATATTATTGCAAAGGTCTATGAAACACAACATTTCAGTAAAAATCACACTAAAGTGAATTTTAGGGCAAACAAAAAAAATAAAATTACCTACATTTTTGGTAAAATATAAACTACAAGGTTGTGCCAAGTAAATCGATATCCAACATGCCAAACTCTAAATTTGTGTGCGCCTGTGAAATTGCATCAAACTTCAGTACCCTACATTTTCTATAGATGATGTTTCAAAAGCCCCTATAGGTCATCAGTTTAGGGTTACGGAGGTGGTCTGGTGCTAGAATTATTGCTCTCAATCCGGCATGCACGGCAATATGTAACGTGTATCATAATCAACATTTTCACATGTAGGTGCCCCACTTTTTTTTTTTTTTTTTTTTAGCAGTAACTAATTTTCTAGGAGTCTTCCAGGACAGCCTGTGAGACATTGCGTTTCCTGTCCCAGGAAGGAGCCCAAACAGCCAAAATTCCTTTAAGATGTGGTCCTCCAGGTCTCCCCTTCAATGTCCCCAAGAACCACCGGAGGAAGCTTGAAGACAAAATACAAGGCATAACACACCACTCAACAATTGGAGAAAAAAAAAGTGTGAAAAAAAAGTGTGAAAAAAAAAGTGTGAAAAAAAAGTGTGAAAAAAAAGTGTGAAAAAAAAAGTGTGAAAAAAAAGTGTGAAAAAAAAGTGTGAAAAAAAAGTGTGAAAAAAAAGTGTGAAAAAAAAAAGTGTGAAAAAAAAGTGTGAAAAAAAAGTGTAAAAAAAAAGTGTGAAATCCGGCTGACCTAGAAGGCTCCTAGAAAATGAGTTACCTGTAAGCCTAACTCTGGTTTTCTCCCCTTGTCTTCCAGGACAGCCTGTGAGATGAGTAAGAAACTTACCCTACCTAGGGTGGGACTACTACTTCAAGGTCCTTTCACCCAAACACCTGCTCTTTACTTGACAGCAGGTCCAGGCGATAATACTTTACAAACATGGAATAGCTGGACCACGTGGCCGCCTAGCAAATATCCTCTGACATGGCACTAGCCCTCTCCACCCAAGACGCTGCCAGGACTCTGGTCGAGTGGGCATTGACAGGGGGCAGTGGAATTTTAACAACACTATATGCCTCTGTAATTGCTAATCTAACCACCTGGCAATAGAAGGCTTAGATGCCCTGTACCCTTTACATGCCCCCGAGAAATTAATGACCAAGCAATCAGACTTCCTGAAATCCTTGGTAATTCTAAGGTGAGACAAAAAGGCTCACTCTAACGTCTAATAAACAAAATTTCTAATCCATGTGATTAGTTGGGGAGGAACAAAAAGTTGGAAGGACGATATCCTGCACCCTATGAAAGAATGAGGACACTCTGGGCAGAAAACCTGGGTCTGTTTTAAGCACAACCCTATCTTCAAAAAAAAAAAAAAAAATCAACAAAAATGGCTCTCTAATCGAGAGTGCTTGCAATTCACTTACCCTCCGCGCAGAGCTGATTGCAACTAAGAAAAAACGGTTGTTAAAGATCTAACAGAAGACTTCTCCAGGGGTTCAAAGGGACTGCGAATCAACGTCCTAAGGACCAAGGATAGATCCCAGGATGGCCAGGCCTGTACTTTCGCCAGTACAGACTTAGAGGGGGCCTTAAAACAAATTTTCTACAAAACGGGTCTTGTTGGAGAGAGACCTGAAAGAAAAAACACCAAGAGCCGAGGACTGCACCTTTAAAAGGTATTTACCGAGAGCCCCTTATCCACCCACCCTGAAAAAAATCCAAGACTGGCGGGAGTTGAACTTTTTCCACACCTTAAAATATACAGTGGATATAAAAAGTCTACACACCCCTGTTAAAAGGTCAGGTTTCTGTGATGTAAAAAAAAAATTACCAAGATAAATAATTTCAGAACTTTTTCCTTATTTAATGTGACCTATAAACTGCACAACTCAATTAGTAAACAAAGAAAAACTAAAATAATGGGGTTGCATAAGTGTGCACATCCCTGTTATGACTGGGGATGTAGCAGTGTTCAAAATAAAGCAATCACATTCAAAATCATGTTAAATAGGAGTCAGTACACACCTGACATTTAAAGTGCCTCTGATTAACCCCAAATAAAGTTCAGCTGTTCTAGTAGGTCTTTCCTGACATTTTCTTAGTCACATCCTACAGCAAAAGCCATGGTCAACAGAAAGCTTCCAAAGCATCAGAGGGATCTCATTGTGAAAACGTATCAGTCAGGAGAAGGGTACAAAATAATGTCCAAGGCATTAGATATACCATGGGACACAGAGAAGACCGTCATCATCAAGTGGAGAAAATATGGCATTACCAAGAACTGGACGTCCTTCCAAAATTGATAAAAAGACGAGAAGAAAACTGGTCTGGGAGGCTGCCAAGAGGCCTACAGCAACATTAAAGGAGCTGCAGGAATATCTGTCAAATACTGGTTGTGTTGTACATGTGACAACAATTTCCCATATTCTTCATATGTCTGGGCTATGGGATAGAGTGGCAAGATGGAAGTCTTTTCTTACGAAGAAAAACATCCAAGCCCGGGTAAATTTTGCAAAAACACATCTGAAGTCTCCCAAAAGCACATGGGAAAACGTATTATGGTCTGATGAAACCAAGGTTGAACTTTTTGGCCATCACTACAAAAGATATATGTTTGGTGCAAAAATAACACTGCACATCACCAAAAAAAACACCACACAGTAAAGCATGGTGTGGGCAGCATCATGCTTTGGGGCTGTCTTTCTTAACCTCCCTAACGGTATTCCCGAGTGTAGCTCGGGGGGTAAAATGTCTATACCAAAAGCGGTAACCCCGAGCTAGACTCGGGCTTACCATGCGGCGCTGCATAGGGAGTCCCTGCAGCACTTACCTTGTCCTTCGCTCCCGCGATGTGTCCCCTGCAGCGTCCCCGGCCATCTCCTCCTGGCCAATGCCGGCATCCGGCTTCTGTGTTCCGGTTCCCGTGACGTCGGGATGTACGGGCGCCGCCGGCGGCGGGAAATTTAAAAAAATTTTAAAAATGTCGTTTTTTTTTTTTTTTTTTATTTTAAATAGTAAAACATTGCTGTTTCATCCCATTTCACATACATTTTGTCCCTAGTGCTTTGTCCTGTGCCCTGCCTGCATTTTTACTGTTCTTTCTGCCTGGAAACTGAGAAACGTCCATGGCGTCCAAAAAGCGTCCCTTTACGTCAAAAGCGGTTTTAGACCAGCTAGAGAACAGCGATAGTAAATCAGAACCACTTGCAGAATTGAGTGATAATGATTTGTGGGGAAATGTTCCTAAAAATTACAGCCTACAATAAAAAACTATTTCCATGCGAAAAAATGGTACCGCTTTCAGCACAAAAAAAATCGGAAAGAATCATACCGCTAGGGAGGTTAAGCTGGAACTGAGGCCTTCGTCAAGGTAGAGGGAATACCAGTCAATATTGGCACAAAACCTTCAGGCTTCTTCTACAAAACTGAAGATGAAGAGGAATTTCATCTTTCAGCATGACAACGACCCAAAGCATACATCCAAATCAACATAGAATGGCTTCACCAAAAGAACAATAAGCTTTGGAATGGCCCAGTCAGTGCCCAGACCTGAATCCAATTGAAAATCTGTGGGATGATCTGAAGAGGGCTGTGCACAGGAAGTGCCAATCCAAGATGTACCATGCTGATAGATTCATACCCAAAAAGACTGAGTGCTGTAATAAAATCAAAATGTGCTTCAACAAATTATTAGTTTAAGGGTGTGCACACTTATGCAACCAAAATTTTTAGTTTTTTTAATTTTACTTCCCTGCACCTAAAAGATTTCAGTTTGTTCAACTTTACAGTTTATAGGTTACATTAAAAAGGTGGAAAAAGTTCTAAAATTATTTATTTATCTTTGTCTCATTTTTTTACATCACAGACATCTGACATTTTAACAGGGGTGTGTAGACTTTTTATATTCACTGTATGGTTCTAATGACCGGTTTTGCGGCAGCTAATCAAAGGTCTTTATCACCTTCTCTGAGAACCCCTAGGATCTCAAGAGTTGCTCCTCAGAAGCCACGCAGCCAACTTCAGGGTTGCTACCTGAGGATGAAGAATTGGTTCCTGTAAAATCAAATCCTCCCTCTGTTAAAGAAGAAATCGGGGAGGGGCCAATATCGGACTTCAGTGAAGAAAACCATGGCCTCCTTGGCCAGAATGGAGCCTCTAGAATGAGGTCTGTCTTTTCTGCCAGAAAATTCTGAAGGATGGCTGGTAGCAGCCTTACCACGGGAAAGGCATAACTGAGTTTGCGAAGGCATCTATGCCCAAAGCCCAATCCTGAGAATACATGGAAAAGAACTGGGTGACCTTGTTGTCTTCTACAGCAAAGAGGTCCACTTCTAGCACCTCCCATTCCTGGGAGATGGCCTCAAAAACTTCCTGACTGAGTGACCAACTCTTCCTGCTGGACCTGAAACCGGCTGAGAAAATCTGCTAGCGAGTTTTGCGTCCCTTTTAGGCAGACAACCGCTAACGAGGCCAGGTTCTGTTCAGCCCACCCAAAAATCCCATCTGCAATCAACTGCAGAGATGGGCAGCCATCCGGGGGAGCGTAGGAAATCCTGTGCAACCAGAAGGTCTTCTGCCAACAATGGGTCCTGGCGATAAACAGAAGGTCATCTAGATATGGGATGACAGTGATGGCCTTCAACCTTAGCGGAGCCAGGGCCTCTGCCAAAACTTAAAAATCCTTGGCGATGAGGATAGGCCAAAACTGAAGAGCCCGACATTGGAAGTGGCAAACCCCCCCGAAATGACCTGGACCGCCAGTCTGAGGAATTTCTGGAAAGCTGGGTGTATCAGATGTGGAGGTACGCATTCCTGAGACCCGAGGTCACCATAAAACAGTCTGGGAAAAGGATGCTTGTCAGCAAAAAAAAAAAAAAAAAAAATTCCATCTTGAAATGTTTTTACCTCAGGGCCCGTTGACGGGGTGAAGATTCAGGATCAAGCAAAACTTGCCAGGATGGCTTTTCACCACCTGAACTTGCTCGCCACGGGGTACCTGCATGAGCACCCACTGATCCAAGAGATCCCCCACTGATCCAAGAGATCCCCTAAAAGGAGAGAAAAAGCATCCGTTTCTCCTGAACCTGCAGCAAGGAGGTCACCAGGAATCTGGACAGGGGACTGGGAGTCTAACTCTAACCCGTAACTGTTCTTTATTATGTCTAAGACGTACAGGCTTGAAGTCACTGAAGCCCACTGTGAGAGGAAGGTCCCCACAGGGTCTCAGGAGTTAATGGGATTTGGCGGGGGTTTGAGGAGGATTGAAAAGGTTTCCTCTCCTCTGGCCTTTAGGTCTGGACCAGTGCTTCTTGGGGGAGGGCTATCTTTCGCCTGCTGGCCCTGCTGTCTGTGGCCACAAAAAAAAAAAGCTTCCTGAATTTTTCTCTTACTCTCCAGGAATGCTTTCTTTTTATCCTGGGTACATTCAAGGGCTTCCTGGAGCCCTGGCACAAACACATGATCACTGAAACAAGGTAGACTGCAGAGTCTCAGCTTGGAGCAGAATCACCTGTCCACGTCTTCAACCACAAAGCTCTCTTTGTGGAACTGACTAGCGTAGAGGACCTAGCTGCCACTTTCATCAATTCCATTGAAGCATCTGCCAGGAATCCAACTGCTTTGAAGAGCAACGGAAAAGATCTCAAGATCTGCTGCCTGGACGTGCCTGCTGAGATATGCGTCCGTAACTGCGTCAACCGACAAACTAAATTCCAGGCTACACAGGTGGCCACAAGTTCCGGCTTCAGACTAATGGAAGTCTTACCCCATGCTCTATGCAGTAAGACTCCCCCCCCCCCCCTTTTGTCCATGGGGTCCCTGAGAGACCGCATGTCATCGAAGGATAAGTCTGTCTCCATAGAAACTTTTGAGAGAGGCGCATCAAGTTTTGGAATTTTACTCCATGGTTGCTTCCTATGCTCCTTAAAAAGGAAACCTCCTGAAGCTTCCAGGGAAAAAAAAAAAAAAAAAAAAAAAAAGGCTTTTACAGGGTTCTCCCACTCCAATTTAATAGAATCCACCAAGGTACTATGTACCAGAAACACTCTGGTCTTCTTAGCATTCAAACCTTGATACATAAGGTCAAGCTTAGGCAAATGTACCTCCTCCTCTTCAATTTTTAGGGTGTTATAGATAGCCTTGAGGAGTTCATCAACCAGTGAGTCTATACCTCGAACCCCTGGGAGGAGTCCGAATCTCTTTCCTCCTCTGACCCAGAGTCTACCTGAGAGGAAATGTGTGACCTAGAATCCTCTTCCGTGTCCTCGCCTCCCCCTTCTGGCTGGGTTCGGACAGGGCTATCACACTAGAGACCCGGATTAAGGCTGCGGAAGGACTCTGCATTCTATCAATCAAGACCTTGAATGACTTGAAGGTAAAAGCGATCTCTGAGTCTCTGAGGTAAGAATTTTGTAATACGCTGTCACTGACTCATCCTTAACAGGCTACTAATACACCCAGGGCAAAGGGGCTTTTCACAAGATGAGCCCAATTTTGCCACACACATCCTCCTGGGAGCCTGCGCCTGGGTCTTAACCTAAAAGGCAAACGGACCCCATAAAGGACCGACTCCTACTCCCCCCCTCCCCCAACACACTATTGTAATGGGTTAATGAAGGAATGTGCCCTCCCAAACACCCATGGCCACTACCAGGGACTAAGGGACCACCCAGGGACAGCCAGAGGGAGCCCTCTCCACGTTTAACTGAGAAGTGCTGGTGCCGAAGGAGCCCGAGTCCACCGCCTGGGAAGGCAAACTGCTCTCCATCTCTCCTCCAGAGTGATCACCAAGGCCTGGCTGGGTCCCCACTCAGTGCCGTAATGCCTGTATCGCTTCCCACCAGGTCATTTCCACCAGAAGTGGCACCTGCAGCTTCCAGAACAGCGTGAAACACAACCATCCCCATCAGTCTCTATCCTCTGAGCTAACCATGAGCAGCATGGCGGGTGCTGCTAACCAATGGAGGTCCTCTCTCTCTCTCCCCGAGCACAGGCAGCGACAGGATGCGCAGCCCCACTCCCCAACAGGAGAGATCGTACCAGGCAGAAAAAGGTACACACAGAGGAGCTACACCCAATACAGCCCCGAGACATGGAGCCAAACACACCGGTTCCTGAAGATGCTTCCCTTCCGTCTGGAGGAAACAAAAAACCGAAAGGGAGACATGGAGGGCCACCTCTTAAAGCAATTTGGGCTAGTGTGTTTCCTGTCCCGGAGGAAGGAGCCCAATGTCTTACAGGCTGTCCTTGAAAACTAGGGGAGAAAAATTCTTTCACTTTTTTCACTATAAGACCCTGTATGTCTCCTCTGATCTATTAGGAGCGGGTAGAGGGGTTGCTGCGGAAGCAATCAGTGGCAGCGGAGTCGCCTGACAGGCAGGAGTCTGCCTGTCAGTTCTATACACAATCACAGTGGCTGCAGCCACTGGATTGTGTATAAAACCCTGTTGTCAGGTCCATACGGTGTACAGACCTGGCAGCAAAGTGCCCTAACAGTAGCCTTGTGTCTGGAACAACTCTTAGAAATATCAGTGTACTCCATTGTATGCAAGTGTGTCTAGGCACTCCTTGTTCCTACAGTCTGATAGCAGTATATATGCAATGTGAGAACTAATGCCCCTTTCAAACTACAGGCCAGGGCTCAGTAAAAAATGGTGGTTGAGCTGCCCTCCTGACCATCCTCCTACTGCCTAACATGATGAGGCTGTGATGCTTCGCGGCATAGGCAAACTTAGCAAGGCATGCCCGTTTAAATCAAGGGGGGTGAGCTGCAACCATAAGCCAACCAACTAGCAATTATAGCACATTAGTCAAATTACAAAAAATAGAAAAAAAAAAAAAACATTCAGGAGGGGGCAGGATATGTTGTTACTCTCTGCTTGCTGGCACATCTGACATGAGGAAGCAAAGCCCTGCCTCTACCAGAGACCCAGTACACAACAAGGTCAGTAATGTGGGAAAGATTAGCTGCAGGAAGGCCACCTGAAATACTGGTGACTAGTCCTCTGCCTTTTGTTTTTTGAAAAACCCTTACAAAGTTCAGTTCCTTTTCAATGACCAGACCCGTACGCATGGAATTTTTCTATACACTTGCTAAAATCTCC